AGGCTTAACAAACCTTTATTATATCACAATTATTCCATCAAATATTACACTATAATACAGAAACTAACACAATATAAACAATCAAAACTTTCTCAACATTAAAAATGTAAAATCAGCACTTCATCTACAATTTCACACAAAACTCTTCCCACAGTCCAAATAGTTGAAAATTCTAACACATTATTAACCATTTTAAAATATGAAAACTCAATTTTAATCCGAGCAGCAACCAACCCTTTCAACACACACTCTGCATCGACTGAACCAGTACCTAATAATTTGTTCTTCCTGGTTTTCCACATTGCTAACTTTGCTGATCCTAATAAATAATTTAATAAACACAATTTTCTTTGTTTATGGTAATTGTGTTTCAAACTACAGATAAAAACTTTATAAGACAATTCTACACCAAAGCCTTCAAACCAACTTTTTAAAATACAAAAAAGACCTCCTAACCTCCTACATTGAATAAATAAATGATCCACAGTTTCTACTATTCCACAAAAAGGACACTTTTTCCCAACTGCTGAATTCAGGTGTGCCACGTGTCTGTTTGTAGCTATAATATCATGAATTAGTCTCCACTGTAAATCTGCTGTACGTTTCTCTATAGGAGATTTGTACAGAGATCTCCAGCATCCACCAAAGTCTGGCCCAAACAATTCTGACCACCTCCACGTCCTGACTTTTTCCAGAACATGCCAATGAGATATTTGGACACACACTGAATATAATGCTTTTTTGCTGATGTCCTGAAACTTCCCCAATTCAGGTGTTTTAAAAGTCAAAATCACGCCGTTTTCTTCCTTAAACTCCTCCTATGCCGCTGCAGACACAGAAATCAATGTAAACTTAGTTTTTCTCCTTCTCTTGCACTTGTTGAAGTCCTAACGCTTCTCTGCAGACTCCTGGTAAAGCTGCACGCACTTCCTTCAGCACCTGAGACAGGACGCGCCTAGAATTTATTCCAGTGCTCTTCTGTAACGATTCCTCAGTTTTCCACCCGTTGGCATCTCTAAGATTCTTAACT